AGAACAATCGTGAATTGTTTCCAAGGTCGAACACGATTCTTGTATCGGAACCGACGTGTAGAAACACGAGCGGAAGATTGAAGATTACGACCCCGTTGCATTATTAACGCGTCGTCTTTTGAATTACAAACGAATACAAGGAGCTTTATTAGAGTTTCATTTCAGTCTGATAATTAAAGAAAGCGAAAAATCTGATTCTACAAAGATTTCGTAAAACAAAATAAGAATTCAGTCCATATTTTTGATATTCTCATGGAAATGAAAATTTCGATTGTTTATATTGCGTTATCCTTGTCACCCAGACCCAATCCAATAACCCATCAATTGTTTTACGTACTTGTTTAGTGCTGGCATTTGTTGCTATTGCGACGAACGCGTGCGAACGTTATAATTTTGATGGAATTTTAAGATACGTAATCTGGAATTTCGTATTTAAAATAAGAAAGTAAGCTTGAACATTCAAATGTGTTCATTATTATTAGTTTGTACGATGTCCAAATTTAATATTTTATATACTTTAGATTATTATATCATAATTCTTCTATGTATCATATTCAATTTAAAGTCCTTATGTATCGGATGACTCTTTTTCTTTTTTTGAATATTTTTATGATTATGAATATGATAATTATTTATATACAGATTGTTCGTAAGTACATTAGAAAGATCAATCAAGGTTCATGGGGTCCAGAAAAAATCAAAGAAGATTGGATACAGTGCAATGTCTGCGAAGAGTGATGTCACGAGAATTGTGCTGATAGAGGTGGTGTTAAAGGACACTATACTTGCGTCCTATGTACCAAGGGTCAATTGACCCCATTATCATTAAATTACATTTTTTAAAAATAATTTAAAGGTCGAACTAAACATCGATGTATCAATATCGATAATGAACTTCATTATGTTTATGAAATATCGATTATAGGGGGCTAGACATCGATGTTTGATTTGGTCCTAGCATATCATTGGCGATTCTACGTATTCATAAAACTGCCATTAATTATTTTTCTTGTGCTAACAATTGCGTCAGCACCTGAAAGACTATTTTCCAAAGCAGGATTAATAGTTCTCTATTTATAGTTGAAGTTTCTCACCAAAGAAACAGACTAAAAGAAAAACTAGTTTCCAAAGTGCTTTTTTTTTACGATATGTTGATACAAAATTTTAATATTTTTGCAACAATATTATAATAATACAAGATATAATAACACAAGACATAATAATAATATATTATCATATTAATAACAATATATTACCACGATTCGATAATTTTATACTTTCGTTCGGATAAGAATTGTGGTAATACATTTATAGTAACATAATAATTTGTTAATAAACACTTTTGCAATCTTAATGTTGCTAATTCGTTGTCCTGGTTTTTTTATTTTACGCTTCGTAGTAAGACCACTGTCGAAAATCGAGGATTTAAGTTCAACAATTATCGACATTCAGTTAACGATATTAACATCGATGCTTTACGAACATCCCACATCCCTAGTTCGATCTCGAACAAGAATCAAATGGCCACCGTTGGGAAGGATCAGCGATAAAATGAGAGACCCTGAGGGTCCAACCGGCCAGGCAGCCAAGTATACACAGAAGTGCGGGACAGGTTTTCGGTGACTGTCAGGGCTGTAACACGCACAAAAGGCAGGTGCTGGAATGCATTGATTGCCTCTGCCCCCCACCATCACTCTTTCTCTCTCTTTCTTCCACTCTTCCAGCATCCACATCGAGTCCCTACTGCCCGTATCTGCTCTGGGAACCACCCTTCTCTCCCAGGGAACGGAGGAGACCCTCGAGCCCTGGGGAGAGAACTCGTTTTCCCTTCCTTCGTCTCTCTCTTGGATTATCCCTCTTTTCTCGGTACGAGGGTGGGCCCCCGTTGATCGACCAACGTTAGCCTGCTTTCGTTTTGCTTTCAACCAATATCGGTCGGCCGAGTGTTTATTTGTTATTCGAACGGGATGATCGACGTTCCAGATAGAGAAGACACGACCTCAACCTTCTGTCAGTTAGAATTTCAAATAGGGGAGGGAGAGCTTCGATCGAAACCAATTGGCGATATTTTCTTTCCTGATGATATGCTTCCTTTCTAACGAAGACATCGTATATTTCCACGAAACACTCGCAATGTTTCGCGAACTCGAGCGGGGCAAAGACTTTACGAGGGAATCCGATGTAATTAAGAACTTTAGGTTTGTAAGGTGTATCTCTCAACCTTGTACATTAACACCTACAGTGACAATTTTCAATTTACTTTTACTGCAGCAGTATATTACTGTGTAAATGTGTATTAGCCTGTATGTGTATTAAGTATTTATTACTTCTACTTCTATTTTCTTTCTCTCTTGTTCTTTTCTTTTCTTTAATTTCAACGTTAAATATTATTAAGTTTAATTCTATTACAATAAGTGTTTTCTATTGTATGAATGTATATTGGGCGAATGTACGCCCGTCTCAATAAACTATTATTATTATTATTATTATAATTTTACTAGATGTGTTAACCGTTTCAAATCTGCTGGTCACATTTCGGTACACGAGGTTTCTAACAATTTCATAGAAAGCCTCAGGTGCAAGAATGTTGCAGGTATATATGTTTTTTATAAATTTGAATTTTTTCATGTCTAGTCAATTTAGAATTGAATAATATTGATTACATACTGTGCAGTAACAACAGGAACCTGAAAGTAGGGCAATTTTCCACATTCCTTCGTCAGTTTCAATCGTTAATAGGTTATTATTAAGTGTTATAAAGCGCTGTGTGATGTGTCTTGCCTCATTTGCGCTCTCTTAAGTATGATGAGATACTTACATAATAAAAGTGCTTAAACGAAATATAATCTAAACAGTCTACTGAGTTAAAATGTGTATTCAAATATTTTTTTTTATCCTAAATGAAAATTCAGGTCTCAAAGGGTTAATAAAGGCCACGATTCCAGCTTCGGAAACTTTCCTGAATTTTCAACCGGGTCCGTGCAGAGTTCTCGCGAAAATTCGCGCAAAGGGAATTTCTATGTTTCCCGGAAACGGTGGTTGTGGTTTCCCTGGATAAATGCTTGCCTTTCTACGAAACAGCGGCAGACACTCTCTCTGGTGCTAGGGGAACGTATGAATTATTCCGTATGAAGGGTTCGAAACGATTTCTCGTCGGTCCGTATTACATCTTTACTTGGAGTAAAACGGCGGTTTCACTGGTCACGTTCGCCCTTTCGAAAATGGTGTATTTTTGCACAAACAGTTGCGAAATGTATTATAATGTATTGTCGAATCTGTCACCACACGATGAAATATATATATATATAGTGGATATAGAAAAGCTTTGGGAAAATTTTTAACAGGACTCGTCAATTTTATAATCGAATTGTGGCAATTTCGAAACGAACGCAGAGTTTCCTTTCCGCCCCTCACCACCGTATTTTATTCCCATCGAGCGACTTTAATCGAATCCCCTACGCTCCACCCCAAAGACAATTTCCCGGAAAACTCGGCTGCCGGATAGGAATTGAACAGCAACGATCCCAGGGACATCAGACTGGGGACGGGTGGATTTCCCCTTGGGAACAGATTCGGGGTTACTTGCTATTAAACCCTCGGTCAATACCCCAAAAAATTGTTCTATAATGATTCCATAACGATCGACCTTGAATGTATTACACTTCGAAAACACTCCACACGGAAATATTTGAAACAATGAAATTGTAGGATAATATTAGTACGAAGGACGTGGTTCCAAGATTTACCATAAATACTTCTATAATCATTCCATAACGACCTACGTTGAATGGATTCCACTTCTGAAACACTCCACACGGGAATATTTGAAATAATAGAACTGCAGGATAATATTAGCCCCATTACAAATTTATTCGATCGTGACTTCCAAGGACGCAGATTCACCATAAATAATTCTATAATGATTCCATAACGACCTACGTTGAATGTATTACACTTCGAAAACACTCCACACGGAAATATTTGAAACAATGAAATTGTAGGATAATATTAGTACGAAGGCGCGTGGTTCCAAGATTCACCATAAATACTTCTATAATCATTCCATAACGACCTACGTTGAATGTATTACACTTCGAAAGCACTCCACACGGGAATATTTGAAATAATAGAATTGCAGGATAATATTAGTACCATTACAAATTCTATTCGATCGTGATTTCCAAGGATTCAGATTCACTATAAATACTCCTATAATGCTTCTATAACCATCGACCTTGAATGTATTACATTTCCAAAAACACCCTACACTATAATAATTGAAATAATGGAACAGCATGATAATATTAGTGTAATTAAAAAATCCATTCGATCATGCTTTCCAAGGATTCAGATTCACCATAAATAGGGTTTTAATTAAATTATTCCTTACTGATTTAATTAAAATAAAATAATTGAATTATTCCCTACTGACTTAATTAAAATAAACTAATTGTTAAATTGTTCCCTACTAATTTAATTACTCCTATAATGCTTCTATAACCATCGACCTTGAATGTATTACATTTCCAAAAACACCCTACACCATAATAATTGAAATAATGGAACAGCATGATAATATTAGTACCATTACAAAATCCATTCGATCGTGGTTTCCAAGGATTCAGATTCACCATAAATACACGAAAATCACCACCGATCATCCACGTACACACAGGAATCGATTGTGTATCTTCTACCTGGCAAACTGGTAATTTCGTTAGGATTCGAAGATCGATTCGATCGAAACGAGGGAACAGGGGAACACAGAGATTCTCGAGCTCGAAAAACGAGAAGTCACCGCCCCCCCTCCCTCTCAACGATGCTGTTCGTCGGTTAAAGGGGCGAAGGGGTGGGGAGGTGGGGCGAGTATAATTCCCGTGAATTTTTGTCGAGCATCTGTCGGACACGCCGTTCCCCCGGGGCGCGGAGAAAGAGAGAAGGCCGGAGGTCATTAAAAACACGCGCGCCCGGAGAAAAACAGGCAGTAAAGGCTGACTAACCTTTTGGTGTGCCAGCCTAAGGGACTCCTCGAAGTGCTTGTGAACTGCCTGCTCGGCGGCCCTCTGCTTCTCGAGCCTCTCCCTTTCCATCTTGGCTTCCCTTTTCTCGCGCTCCAGCCGGACTTCCGCTTCTCGTCGTTCCCTGCAACGCAGACAAAAGTTTCAAGGTTACACATGGGCTTCCATTCGTAGAGTGAGAATGCGCGCGGCATCTCAACCCTCGTTCGGGCCACTTCGTACCTCTTTCGACGTGGTTCTCGTTTTTATGCGACAGTTTTTTAATGTTACTTGTTCCGAAATGAACATTTTTTATACGGAAATTTTTTTATTGACCCCTCGACAGAATACGTTCATAGCGTAAGGGCCCCGAATTTCACTTAACGTATGTGTACGTTTAGGTTTTCTTTTATTGAAGCATTATTAGGAAATGGTCATTCACTTGTTAATCAGGTATGACGAAATACTTCGTCATACCAGAAAGAACTTCAATGGAGATGACTTTTTCGACATTTTTAATTGTACGCCATATGGGAACACTTCGAATCTGCAGTTTAGTTTGAAACGGCATTATAACGTTTTTTTATAAAATGCACGTTGTACATTCTGTCGTGTGAATTCGAGTACTTTACATTTTAATAATAATTTGCATGGTGTGATTTACTAATAATTTGCATATTTGAGTGATTTCTTTTTTTTTCAAAATATGGCTAAAAGTTATCTTGAGGAAGAAAATATTTACGAATTGCTCGATAGTGACGACGAATAAAATAATTATTAAAATTTTTTTAATTAATTCTTTGTACATTGAGAATATTTGATTTATATATTTTAAGATTGATTTATATATTATAAGTAAAAAGCGATTTTCTTTTATTACTTTAGGCGTGATAATACAACTTCTCACTGCGAAGAAAAAAGTGCCCATTCTAAAATGAGTTGAACAAAAGTCAATTCCCCGATTAACAGGTTAAATATTTACTAAGAAATTCTCTAACAGAAAAGGATGTTCTACCAATTGAATGTCCAAAAAACTTTAAGAAGGCAGTGGGAGGGAGGGGGGGGGATTTGGGCCCCTTACCCTATTCAAACAGATAATTAGGCGATAACAATGGATCAACCCAGATCCATGGTTTCAAATCTTCCAAATAATCAGCGTTCAATTTCGTGCATAAATACAATTTCAGCACCAAGTAAATACGTGTAATGGAGAAACAACAACTGTCACGTTTGTAACATTGCCCCTCGACAAACACAAACAGCTATCGTGCCCTCGACAACGTATAAATACATATTGTATCAGTATTGGAATCTTCACGCGTGTCAATGTAATTATTCGATCGCGATAAACCTTTTTCCCCGTAGTGTGTTTTCAATTATCGTTTTCTATTCGAATCGAATTCCCGCCGCCTCTTTGTCGAGAGGGACCTCGGTTCGAGGAAATCTCAGGAAAGTCTTTTGTACATACATTTCGATAAGACCGCCCTCCTCCAACCGGCGCAGATAAAAAGAGCCCCCAAGCGATAATAACGTCAGACGTTGGTTTACCCGTATACCATATCGTGACTTTTTTCTTTCTTTTTTTTTTTTAACGGACTCGGCCAGATAAGCATTCATTAATGCTTGCGCAAGTTATTTATACTGTTACGTGCGCAACGCGCGTGTTTATCTCGGTTCTCGGTCGGCGGACTTTACAATGCACGCGTTCGGATTCGCGCGCGATAAACACATATACAGTACCGGACAAAAGTATTCGTACACCCTTTAAAATGGAACAACTTTTTTTAAAATTCGTCCAAATGACTCGAGTTCTTTTGCGAAGTTAGGGACATCAGTTTAATAAATGACGGGTAAAAAAAAAAGTTGAATAGTTGCAATTGGTCGGAATCGCGAAGAAAATAGAAAAGGTCGTTTTTTACAACTTTTTAATCTGAGGCTATAATGAAAATTTAATAAATACATATTAAAGATTTATGTTAGTTATATATACATATTGAAAATTTCATGAAAATTGGTTAACGTTGCTATGAGATACAAACGATTAAAGATGTTGAAAATCACAGTTTTTCCGACATTCGATCTACAACTGTAATACATCTAACAATACTTACGTCTTTGTCGCTCGTTTCTGTATCGACTGATTTCAATGAGTTTCAGTATGTATATAACATAAATCTTCGACATGTGTTTATTAAATTTTCATTACAGCTTCAGATTAAAAAGTTGTAAAAAAGTATAGTAAACTATTTTCTTCGCAATTTCGAAGAATTGCAACTTTTTCCATTTTTATTTTACATATCATTTAGTAAACTAATATCCCTAACTTCGCAAAAAAATTGAAGTCATTTGGACCAATTTTAAAAAAGTTATTCCGTTTTAAAGGATGTACGAATACTTTTGTGCGGCACTGTACGTGTGCGCGCCTTGTATTACGATCCAGCCGTCCGTTTCGGTGCCAGGCGAGAGAAAACCCCGTATTTCCCAATTAAAAAATGGAAAATAGCACCCGAGTTCCTCGAACAGCTGAGAAATATATGTTTACTATTCGCGGGGCGAAATCTTTCTCGCTCTCTCCGTGGACACCACGCTATTGTTTGCTTCGAGGTGCGTGAATTGGTTATCTTGTATCGTGTTCCCGTTTGTTCTCCCAGCCGTCACGAACTGGATTGTGATCCTCGACGGAAAGCAGGCGAATTAACACTGGGACTACCAAATCCGTCAAAATGACGGATTACAGTTTTACCATTACTGAAATTACAGTGGTGCTTTTCACGGAATTTATGTTGGCCTTTAATTTACTACAGATTTTATTTTATGATGTATTATGCCACATTGTCTTATATATTGTGTATATTATTGTATTATACAATTTAATTTAGTACATATTCAATGTTGGCATAGAAATAATATATTCTTTTCAATTTGCTACTATGATTGAAATGTTAATTAATAGTCCCTTGGTTGCTGATCGTTGGATTTACTGAACCTATTAAATAGCAATCGGTAGATAATGTGATCAGGAACTGGGTCCGTAACGATACTCGTGGAAATTGAGAGAATCTATACGTTGAAGAAAATCTTTTGGAGAGAACAGAGGACACACACACACAAAGGAAAATTTATTTTTGGAAATCGATCTGTCGCACATGTATATTCGTGTCCACAATATACAGCAAATCTTCGATTAATGTTCGAAACTCGGGACTGCTTTGGAACAATTATCGTAGAGGGACACTATTTCTACACCTCGTAAATTTCAGGCCAAGCCTCGGTGGCTCGTTTTCGTATTTTGCCTACAAAGATTAGAAGCAGTAGTGGGATTGACGCAGAAGCATTTAACGTAGAGATCTTCCCGATCATTTATCGAGAATTTACTGTATGTAGAAATTATCAATAACAAACAGACACGCTCTAGCAAAATTTTATCCTGAAAATTAGATTCCAGACTCCTCAAATGATATTTCTTTTATTACAAACATAGAAATCTTCTTGTTAATACATTTGTAAATTTGTTCGTTTTTCACGGTTCTTTTAATTTCGTTAAACTTTCTGTACACTTACTCTAAGTCTTTTTAAACTGGTTTATGTTTACGCATAATTGTATATCTGAAATTTCGTTTGTTTACACTTCCATGTACAGTAATGTCTCGATGAGTGCAACATACCGGATCCACTTTGGAGCATTCGTCGTAAGGCAGAAAGGTTTTCATAAATTAGTTCTTTGCCCGAAGTCGAGCCACTGCTTAGCTTCTGTTTACTCTGTTTTTATTGATGGGAATAACGCCGTTGTTCGTGTCGCATTTATCGAAGGATCACTGTATATTCTACCAAAATGTTCATAATTCGTTTATAAATAAATATAATAATATTTATTTATAAACGAATTATGTACATTTTATATAAATATGAATTATGTACATTTTAATAGTAATAACTATTATAATCATTTCGAGCGGTCTTTGCAAGAAAACGCGCTGTATGTGCGCATGTACATCGAGGAGGATCCGCGGGGAATCGAGAAACGAACCGATTCGATCGTTGTTCCAGAAGATCCCTGGAGAAGACCTGCCCGTCAGTATGTAGGTGCACATATAACCGCCGTTCCGAGAATGAGCGGAGCTTATTATTAAGCTACGACGTGTACCGGAACAACCAGTTTCTGCATCCGAGGTGCGATTTGCATCTCTGAAACGAGGGCTGACTTATTCAGTCGGGGGCCGAGCGCTGCATAAATCGGCTCCGTGTTTTGCAACGTTTACCCGCGAATGATAGTCCCTCCCGTCTGTGTGTGTGTCCGAGGATTTCTCGCAGGCGTTTTATTCGGTGAAAGCTCCACGTTTTTTGTTTTATCGCTCGAGATTTCCTGAACCGTGGCAAATCGGTTCTTTTTTCTCCCTCTGTCTCTCTCTCTCTCTCTCTCTCTCTCTCTCTCTCTCTCTCTCTCTCTCTCTTGCCGTTGTGTGTAAAAAAGTCGTGAAGTGAAAAAGATTCAATCGATCCTCGAGTAACGAGGGTCACCTGGGATTGATCAACACCAAAGGAAATAATATTTTTGTTTATTATTACGACCGAGTAATTCGGAACAAGACAAACTCAATGTACACAAAATGAATTTGGAATTGTATAATCCCCTGCAGGAAATCGAATATAAATACACAGAAATTTCCAGGAATCTTTCGAATAGAGATTCACTTGAAAGGGTCCAGGAAGGATTTTCCCGACGTGATTATCCTTTAATACGATTTCCTCTTCCTCACGGTGTTTCGCCACGGTTATGCATAAATCAAAAGCGACTGTTTTCCTCGAATTTCCCGGCACGTACGGTGGAAACGCGCGGATTTTCTCGTTGGAAAACTTTTAATTTTATGGGCAAAGCCCCCCCCCCCCCACCTCCTTCCCCTCTATTCCGCCAGGCGTTCCGACCGCGAACGGCCGACGTGGCAAAAACGATTGCACGTGTAACGAAGCGATCGCCGGTGATGTTAATTTAAACATGGCTGCTCGATGTTTATTAACGCCGCGGCGAAACACCGGGAACCTGCTTTCCATACAAATGACGCGGCTGACCGTCCACGCGGAAAAACTGCTACGACCGGAACGAAACATTAATGACTTTCTTGATACTCATTCGAGTTGGCCGTACGG